GTGGGGGGGGGAATATTATATATATATATACATATATATATACAAGAAGACAGCTGACATTGTCCTACTCGTGTGTATTATCGTGTGTGTGGGGAATAGGAGTGCGGACGCCGTGGGCAGTTGCCGACACGATTTGCAGCGTCTACTTGCAGGAAGGCCAGTACCAACTCCTGGGCATCTCGGGGATTGTCGTGCTCGAAGTGAAGGCCGCGCTCGATCTAGCGGCAAAGCAATCGACTATTTATATGGATCAAGCTCAACGCAATGTGGTTGGAAGTGGAGAGGATGGTGGTTCTATCGACTCGAGTAAGAACGAAGCACAAGGGATGGCACTTGCCAACACTTTGTTTGACGTGGCCGACTTGGAAGCCATGCAAAAACGCGCGCTGATTCAATCGAATGCTAGCAAATTGCCCGATCAAGAAGGTATTGTATGTGTACACCCAATATATGGATTTCTTTTGTGCTGATACTTTGCCTATTGATTGATATTATTCATGGATCTAGTTGGTTTAGTATCACACTAATATAAATTGCACACTAATTCGATGTTATATTGGTCGACGAGTGGGTAATTTGATTGGCCACTTGATTCGTGTTGTGGTATTTGATTGGTCGATTTTTTTCGATTGACTGCCGATCCTACTTCAATGCCGAATCGGCTTACTTGACAATATATCTATTTCTTTCTTGACATCAAAACAGCAACCTAGATAGATCTCGATGTATTGTATTGGTTATTGTATCAAAAATATATATACCACTCACGTATTCGACGGATGGATTTGTTTGGCCTGTGACACGGTTCAACGTACATATGTGGTGCATGTTGCCATGCATTAGGTGTTAATTTTACATCAAACGATGTCTCGAACGCGTGAGTGTGATGGGGCGATTTCTTCAAATGGATATATATATATATATACATCCATTTGAAGGGGGGTTACAAAAAATAATATATTAATTTTTGTAGCAGACGGCCGCGACTCGGACGAGGATATGTCGGACGACGAAGACGACAGCAGCCATCGCGAATCCTTGGTGGACTTACGAACGAGCGACATGGAGCCTCTCTGCGACACGGTTCAGCCCACCTCGGACGTCCGCCAGTTCAGCGGCGCCTTATTGCGGCTCTTACATCGCAACGACCAGACTCCTCACCACGCGTGCAACGCCATGTCGGTGGCAGGCATGCAGAAAACAGTACGCTCTATTCCCGTCAGGGTTTGCTATCTATCTATATATATATATATATAATAGTGACTTTTTATTTTGAAGTACTTTTTCATAAATTATTATATTATTTAAAAAAATTGTATATATATTTATGCGCAACACAACCTTCGACGGAATTGTGTTAATCATTATATATATATATATATATATTGTCCATTCGAGTTGAGCATTTGGAGTGAGTGTGGGGTGCCGAATATCGTCCAAATCGACCCAGGACACTTTAATTCAAGTGGCCCATCCAACTTTTGCAATCATCAAAGTCGTGTGTGACTTTAAATAGTGTATGAATGACTTGACAATTTAATAGTGTATGAATGACAATTTTGTGTTTTACCCAATACTCAGGACAAAAATGGTCCAATCAATGGATATGGTATCCCGACAAAACAAATTCAAGTTTTGACTGAAAGCACAATATATATATTCATATATATATTTCGAAATCATGACGAAATTGCTATGTTCCGTAGAGTGGCGTGTGGCTCATGTGTGGCGAATCGCTGACGTTTGTCGAAGGGTATGTGGCCATCGACGACCAGCAACAGCCTGCCAAGGGGCTCGTGGACTTGCGAAGTGGCAGCGACAAGCCAGGAGGGGTCATATTAAAGCCAAATCCAGCGAATATATCGAGTCCGTTGGTATGGCGGCTCAAGTATCGTACGTCAATATTAATATATATCTTTCTTTTGTATATGTATATATATATAAATATATTTCTGTTGTATTTGTCATTGTATACAATTCGCAATCAAAACGAAAAATGATCGTGCTCTACTACTACAGTACTACTACCATAAAATACATGGTCGTGAAAATCATATTCTACTAACGTTTCGACTACTATTACAACATAGTGCATCGTAGTAGTCGCGATTCAGCCCATTCCATATATATATATAATATATATATATATTTGTAGACGATATCAAACAGTTTTACCGGATCAAGTTCCAACTGCGCCCGGTGGGGTTGGAACTGGTGGACAGGGGCGGGTGGACGTACTTTTGCACGTTCGAGTCATGTCGGTGTCGGGAAGACGTGTTCAAAGCGCTCTTCCAAATGCCCATCCACAACAGCATCTACTGGGCCCATGTGACACCGTTTCGATCCACCAAGCGGCTGCGACAGAGTTTAACGAAAAAGTGGCTGCGGGGAGCGCTGTCCAACTTTGAGTACCTCATCGAGTTGAATGCGCTGGCCGGACGTACCTTTAACGACGTGACGCAGTACCCCGTACGTTTGACTTCGAAGTACTAATAAATTCAAGCGCTTTGAAGTTGTTGTAAAACGATATATTGGAATTTCAAATGGATGCAAATATATATATATTATTTATATGGATATATATATATTATTTATTTGGATATATATATATATATATATATATTATTTATATGGATAGATATATATATTATTTATATGGATATATATATATATATTATTTATTTATATGGATATATATATATATATATCCAACGCGTTTCAAGTCTCTAGGGTGTAAAACGAGTTAATATGCACGTTTAATAAACCAATGAACCTTCCCAAGATGAAACAAGTATCATGACGACGAAAGAAAGAATAATAATTTGACTCTTGTTTTAAACGATGAAACAAGATGAATCATGAAATACATATATATAAATAGTTTGCGTTCTAATTACAATGTATGAGGTAGGTATTTCCGTGGGTGTTGGCCGATTACACATCAGAAACGCTAGACTTGACAAAAGACAGCACGTATCGTGACTTGAGTAAGCCGATGGGCGGACTCGGAGCTAAGCGCGCCGACCAGTTCAAGGACCGATATGCCGCCATGTCATCGGATGGGTTTGATGGGTCCCCAGCGTTCCATTATGGCACGCACTACTCGTGCTCGGCTTATGTGACATATTACCTCTTGCGACTTGAACCGTTCGCATCCATGGCCCAGGAATTGCAGGTATATATATATATATATGTAGGATTTTTGGTTGAATTATGTCGATTTGTTTGATGCAGGAGATCCTATCTACCTTGTACAGCTAACTTCTAACTCTTTTTCGTGACATGTGTAAGCTTTGAGACCAATGATTCGAGTTTTGATATTGGCATATAGATAAGTAGTAGAATTGTACTAGTAGTTAGTAGATCGGGTTCTTTATAGAAATGTTGTATCGTTAATGACTGTTAGTAATATCCAGCGGAGGACGCTTGCCTTCTTTATATATATGTATTTGACGATCAATCTTACAAATACTATAATATATATATATGTCTGATATATTATGGTGTAGGGTGGTGAATTTGACAAAGCGGACCGGTTGTTTCGAAGTATTGGCGCGTCGTGGACGTCGGCTTCGTCCGAGAACCTGCAGGTAGAAGCAACAATATATACATATATTGCTGTGGATACACACAATAATACACTATATATATATATATATATATATATATATATTGCTGTGGATATACACAATAATACACAATATAAATATATATATAGTATGTTTATTCGTATCCACAACACATTTTATTTCATTCGCTGTATATATATATAAGTAAAACGATGTTTATTTGTCATAGGACGTGCGGGAACTGATTCCAGAATTCTACTTTTTGCCCGAATTTCTCGTAAATGCCAACCATTTTGACTTGGGGACGACGCAGAACGGGGAGGTCGTCCAGGACGTCCACCTGCCACCGTGGGCGGCCAACGACCCGCGTGAGTTTATTCGGTTACATCGACGGGCATTAGAGTCCACCGTACGTTTCTATATGATTTCCTATGTGAACGCTATAGCATCGGTTTAAATCGCGTGGTTTTAACTTCATTTTATACGATAAAATCACGTGTTCTGTATATGGTAAAATCACGTGGTAGTACGTGTCGGAGAACTTGCATTCGTGGATCGACTTGGTCTTTGGGTACAAACAGCGAGGCCAAGAAGCCGTGGACGCGCTCAATGTGTTTATGCACATGACGTACGAGGGCACGGTACGGTATTCTCTCTCTCTTATAATCCGTGCAAAAAGAGCAGCGATAATGCTTTAGATACTGAAATATCAAAATGGTCGATATTACCACCTACTACTGTATCTATCTAGATTGACATTGACACCATCCAAGACCCCCTGCTTCGAGAAGCGACGATGGCCCAAATCGAAAACTTTGGGCAGACGCCGTCTAAGCTGTTCAACAGCCCCCATCCTGCCCGCAAAGTGCCCCAGTTGCAAGTCCACTCGTCGCTGTCGACACTTCTCACCCATGCTCAGGACCTCAGTATGAACGCGCAAAGCAGGTGCGGTCAACCCATAAAAATATTTCTGGTTGTCAAAGTTGATTGATCCATTTCTTCGAATATATATATATATCCAGACACACGACACGGGGCATGGCTGGGATGTGTGGGTTTTACATCGCCAGTACTAGTTGATGAGGTGGAATAATGGCGAAAATTGTGTATTTCTATATATACTACTATATATATATATATGTATGTAGGTGGTGTTCAGTCACAGTAGTAGTTAGTTGGTGTGGAATCGTATAAATGTATACTAGTGTATACTGTAGAAGTATATATAATCGTAGTTGGAGTGATGACGATTTGGATATAGATACATAAATTTATATATATATATATATATATATATGGATGTATGTCGAGGAGTAACGTTAGTCGTTGGTGTTGATTATGCCGAATTATATCAATATATGTTTGGTAGTTGGTGTAGTATATGTATGTATTGGTAGTTGGTGTTAAGTAATGGCGAATTGTATGTCTGTATATATATATATATGTATATGTTCGCCAAGCATTCTATGTATTTCGTCCAGAAATATATCGAATGCTTGGCATATATATTGGCATATATAGTTGATGTGGAGTAATCATGGGTAATTGAGTAGATTCATTATATATATATATCTATTTGGATATTTGTCACCCGTACATGTTGGAGTAATATGTGTATATTTTATGCATATATTAGCATCGAAGCGTATGTGAAGTGGCACACGCCCCTGGCCCCGCCGCTCGTGTCTATTGGGAAAGAATATGTGTACTTGAAGAAAGCGCACGCTGTCCAAGTGTTGGACGAGCCAGTGGGGGACGTCCAGGCCACAACCGACAACAAGGTACAGCCAACCTTGATATCTTATATCTCACAATGAAAAGACCACATATTTTTTCGGTGATTTTGATGAGCATTTTTGCAGTACGTCTGCCGAGGGGGTGCGGGTGTACTGGTACCGCCTCGGTTCAAGAAGGCGATCGATTGGGGTACTGGCTCGGTGGCGCTGCGCTCTGTGAAGCCCAAGGCGGCGCTGCTGGTGTGCGTCGAGAGTTGCCACTTGAGCGCCGTGACATGCGGCGCCGTGTCCGCTGACGGACTCACGTTTGTAAGTGGGGGCGACGACGCTGTGGTGAATATCCTCGAGTGTACAAAAGTGCACGGGGAGCGAGTGCTGACCCACAAAGGCAAACTCACGGGTACGCTCGTCGGAATAACACTCGGGAATAACGAGGATTTTGTCCACACATTGTGATAAATATATATATATATTGCACTGTGTAAATATATTGCATTATGTGTGGACATTATTAAATATATGCACTATATATATATATATTATTCGTGTTGAGTTTATGTATACATTATGCTTGGACGTGGCTTGTCACGGGTGAACTGATTGTCCTTGGTTGGAAATGTTCAAGGGGTTGTGCCTGTTTTTTTACGGAGGCAGATATTCGTCAATATTTGCAAATTTAGCGATATATCCCGAGACCATAACTTCTAAGATACTCTAATTAGGATTCTCAAAGCATTAAAATTGGATTTCTAGTGAAATTCTCTACACCAATTGTCAAGGCAATAACCTATTTTGACTGAGATACAATTGTTCAAAGCCCAACAAGTGAAACCTATCAATCATTTCCAATCGGAGGTAGTATATATCTATTGTCTATTTAAATGTTTAAACGTGTGTTGTCATGGGTTAAAGCGATTGTTGCTGGTTCTAAGAGCCAGTCCATCGAGGGGTTGTGGTTATCGTGTTGCAAAGAGGCAGATAGCATGGACGAGCTTTTCATGTTGGCATTATTACATATAAGGCATATACTTCCAGGTTGACATTTCAAAATTCGCATGTTCCAAGTTCCTGGCGACATTTGCATTTCATTGGCTGTAATTCTTCAATTTCTATCAATATCAATATCGAACATTTATGACATTTCATTGGCTTACAATTGCTTTAAGCGCTGATTATAAACCAATCTTTTGCGAATATTCATGCAATTCCCTTTCAAAGTATCATTCGTATTGCCAAATAATTCCATGTTGGCATCATTATATATTTATATATATAAATTGGGATTGACTTGTGGGTTATAAGTAGGCCATGAAGATGCTGTGACGTGTGTGGCCATCGATGCTGCGTTCAACGTGATTCTGAGCGGGTCGAAAGACGGATCTGCGATAGTGTGGGATCTCCGGATGCGGCGGTACCTGCGCGACCTCCGCGGGCACGACGCCCCCCTCCGCCAAGTCGGGGTGAACGCCGCCAACGGCAACCTCGTGACCATCACCACGTCGCAACTGCGGCTGTGGTCGATCAACGGCGACTTGCTGGCTGCCGCTGTCTTACCATCGCTTGGCCTTGCTCCTGTTGTACGATGATATACATTATATCCTTGCTTTTCGTCTATATATATATATATTATAGATTTGATCCAAATGGCATACGACTCGATTGTTGTTATGTTTCGAGTTCATTTATATATTCTCTTTCGCGTATATATATAAATATAGTTTTGGTCCAAATGGGATGAAAACCCGACTCGATTGTTGTTTACTGATAGTTTCGAGTTCATATATATATATATATAATTATTCAGACGATCTTGATGTGTGTAGACGGCGGCTCTTTGTACGACCTGTGACGTGTGGCAGAATGGAGTCGTGCTGGTCACGGGGCATGCCAACGGCACGATCGCATGCTGGGGAGTCAAGTACCCCACCGACGCCAAGGACGTTCGCGGCGGCGGCACTACCACGTCAAGCTTCGTCGTGTCCAAGCCGAGCGAGCGAGGAGGAATGGCTAAGAAAGTTGATGCCGTCGTGCCGTCATGTCAGCTGGTGGTGATGAAGTTGCTCGTGGAGCACCGCGCGTCCGTGACGGCGCTGGCTTTGACCGTGGATCAGCGCCAAGTCATCTCTGGGGACGCCGACGGATGGTGCATGCGATGGGTGGACGACAGTATGACGAATGGAGCAACTTAAACAATCATAAACGATACAGTTCTTTCGTCCTACTTGTCCTCGTTGTAATAGAATGTGACTTTGAAGATCTTGTCCGCGCGGGTTTCGTACATCACCATGAGTTCCACGGGCGGACTGTTCTCGGCCTTGAAGCACAGCTCGTGGTCCATGCACTTGTTGCCCATGGTCACGCGCGTCGGCACCGTCGCGTGAACCGCCGGGTTGTTGAACGTCGCGACGTAGTTGGCGCGAAACTTTGCAAGGCCCACGACGGCCGGCGTCATCGAAGGCATGCGGTACACCTCCACGTCGTCGCTATAACATGCGCAGAACGCGTCCAAGTCCTTGGCGTTGTACGCGCGGAGCTGTGCTTCCGCCAAGTCGGCTGCCGTCATGTGAAACGAGAGTTGTGGTCGGTCGGTCACCTTCACCAGCGCCATGGCTGATTGGCCAGCATATTTTCCATGCAAGGCTATGTACTACTACTAGTAATACTAGATGTACTTTTTGCAATAAAACACGTTAACTGTAAATTCAAACTGCAGTGTATAATTAGGAGTTCCTTAGATAAGACTCCGGCATACCAGATTGATAGGTTTCACTTTTTTGGGCTTTGAACAATTGTATCTCAGTCAAAATAGGTTATTGCCTTGACAATAGGTATACTTCCATGTAGAGAATTTCGCTAGAAATCCAATTTTAATGCTTAGAGAGTCCTAATTAGATTATATTAGAAGATCAATCAGAATGATGCTGAATTTTCACTGTGCTTCCATATAATTTCTATACACCTATATCTGATTTCTCCTGAACTTTTCTGGTTATAGAGGTTTACATGAAGATATGTGGTACAGGAAATATGTTAATACCTGTATAATATAAGAATAATTATACGTAACCGGTAAACCTATCAATCATTTCCAATCACATCTAATTTGGTCCCTTTATAATCCACGATGTGTGTTTTGCGTGTGATTTTGTAGGTATAACCCACTTGTAGAACTTTGTAAAACTGGACTTTATAACCAGACCTCCAATCGACGTGTTACTTCGGGTATTTTCGACGAATTTGGAGGCACTCCTGGCTATTTCTGATAATTCTGGATACAAATGCTTCGTATAGATAAAAGCCTTCAAATTTGGGCGAAACTTTGGCAGTATCTTTTCCCCAGTATCTTTTCCCCGAAATATAACCAGACCTCCCAAAACCGCGGTGGAGATGCTCTAATCTGGACTTCATCCTACCCCCCGTGGGCACGGATACATATTTCGAAGTATAACGTTATTCCCGGGGTTAAACGCATCACAGCGGTTGGCTATATCTAACCACTGAGATGCCTTAACCCCTAGCTGGCTGGTATGCGTTGCTAGTGTACTGTATCATTAGAAATCCCACCATTATACTTATTTGTGCAACAGATCCTCAGTTCAAGCGTCCTGATTGGCTGTTGTACGGAATATCAGAATTCCCCCAATAAAGGTGCTCTATGGTACCAGTAATAGTATTGGGTGTTTGCAAAGGAATTATTAGTCCCCTAATAAATTATTCAAAAAACGGGCTGAAGAGACAGTCCAGCGTGTGTCACTTTTATCCGGTGTGTTCCGGATAAATCGCCACTGCCCGTGTCACGCTGATTCATCCTGTTCGGCCACGCACTCTGCTGTTGCCGCCGCTGCCGCCGTGTCCAACCGTCCTCCAGGTACGATCCGATGGCCTTGGCATGGCGCATTGCAAGATGTATGTATCACATACGGATGTAATTACTCGTAGGAACGATCTTCATGTCTGTTGACAGGATGTTGTCGGGAGTGTTCGCAATGGGCAAGTTTCCTGGTGGCTTCACGTCCAATGCGAACGACGCGGACGGGTCTGGCAACCCCAGGCATCATTCAGGTCGATCGCCCATGAATCGAAGTGGCGGTGGTTCGTCTTCGTCGTCGGCAACGTTTTCGAACCGCGAAGTGGACGGGTTCCACGCGCAGGGCGAGGTGGCGATGCTGGACTTGTTGGAGTACGACGGCGCCGCGTCGTATCACAAGATCAGCGACAAGGACAAATGTGTCTTGTACGAATGCAGTAGTAGCAGCAGCACCACGACCACCGTCACAGAGGACACGTACTCGGTCAAGGGGGTGCACACCATTTGCACGCACATGTCCGAGGTCATGGAACTTCTCAGCGCCAAATCGCAGTACTTCTCGAGCGTATTAACCAAGCTCCTTGGTCCCATTCACGCAGATAACTCGCCGCTTTTCCCCGTGGACACCCATTCGATCGACGAACATGCACTGCTGATCGTATACCTGGCGCTCCAGTCGTCGTCCACTGCCGCCATGAACAACGACTTGGCCTCAGCCAGCCACTTTCGAACCAAGGCCACCGCGGCCGGGCACATCACCCGCGAGTACTGCTTTCTCCGGTACTGCGGGTACTTTACCAACAACAACGAAGCGGGGAGAATGGAGCGCGTACTGCCGTCAGAACCCCTTCGACCGCAGTCGCAAGCTGTGTCAGTGTGGGACTCGATTGCGAGCGCACAGAGTTGCACGCCCCACGGCCCCATCGGTCGGCTGATCAAAACGGGCTTCATCCTCGAACAGGCCAAGGCGCCAAATGCGGTCAAAGTCAACTTTATCATGTCCATGCATCCCCACAACTATGCCAACTCGCGCCAACGTACGTGTGAAAGCCAAACGTATGCGATTGATCAATTATATATAATCGGGGGTTATATATCGTGTGACTGGACCAAGAGTGGATTTGATTGGCCACGTGATGTACGTTGACGGTTTTGATTGGTTGATTTTCGATTGTCTTGCTATTTGGTTATTCTGCTCATTCGATTCGACAATATAAGGTGATTGGATTTATGTGGGCTGCTGCTTGTAGTGGCATCGGAGAAGCTGTTTCTGCAGCGCATGGTACGCACCATGTTGCTCAACGTGTCGGCAGCCGTGATGGAGCTCCGACTTCTCACAGATCACTTACTGCTCAAGACATCGTGGACAGACAGTCCCATGTGCACGATCTGCCTCAAGAACTTTTCGCTTCTCCGGCGTAAACACCACTGTCGACTCTGCGGCGATGCATTCTGCACCACTTGCTCACTCACGCGGGCGCGGCCAGACTTGGGCGACTCGGTCCGTGTGTGTCATGCTTGTGTGGAAGGCAACCCATCCAGTACGTCAATTCAAATAGCAGCAAAAGTCGAGGGTCCTTCCCTGGTTTTATACGATAGTCTATTGATGGTTCATTCGAGGGACTTTACCTGGTTTTATATGATAGTCTTATAGTTTAGGCACCTCACATTCGCCTTGTAGGTTTGGTGCGGTCGTCCGAGAAGTTGTTTTCGACCACGCAACCAAGCCACCTCTTTCGCCACGCGTCCATGCACGGGGACAAGGGTACTAGTAGTAGTACTACCTGTACTAGTACTTTCAAGGGTCGGGCGTTGTCGGCTGGTGGGAAGAAGTCGGCAGCGGCGACGACGACTGCTGGGTGGAGTTTGAGTGGCCGAGGTCGAAGCCCCAAAGAAACAGATCACCACCAGACCGTTCCTTCAGTGTACATGCAGCATGGGGGGGCCATGCACTCGGGCGAGGCGGCGAAACCACCACCGAAAAAGGCCCAGGATGCATCACAACATGAGCACCCGATGGAAGGAAGTGGGGGGGGGCGACGTTTGAACCCGTCAGACCAACCACGACGCAACTACCCGGCGATCCCTTCAAATCCCCTGGCCCACCACCAGTACGACCCGTTTCGCGACGGCCCACGATCGATTCCGTCCCAGCAAGTCCACCGGCGCCATCCAGACCATCGCCCTCTAGGGACCCGACACGTGGCAAGCCCCCGAAACCCCCCAAATACCTTGGACAACAACGATGACAATAACATGTATCCAGGGAATGCCAGTCCAACACGCCGCCGTGGAAATCAACCGACGACTAGCCATCAAGCGCAACCCCACAGTCCGCCACGTATGGTGCGCGAGGACAACGAAGACAACGAACGACTCCATGGACTTCATTCTTTTCGTCCCCCCACAGTATTGTACGATGGCTCGTCGTCCCATTTTCGTCCGCCGCAGACTCGAAGGGGGTTGGCAGATCCACCGCTGAACGACGACGACGAAGACCACCTGCAGTACAACGTCCCAGACCCGGTCGTGCTCGACCAGGACTCGCACCCGTCAGCGTTTGATTTTGATCTGCGACACCGTGACCACCATCACCACCCCCATATCCCTCCGAGTATGCGAACCACACCGCCCACTCCTTTGTACCCAGACCCACAGCCAGAACCCCCAGTGGACGACACGTCCCAATTCCTGTATCACAGCACGCCGTTCTCATACCCGTTGAACTTTTATAACGGCAACGCATGGCCAGACGCGCCGGTCACAGCATCCGAGGACGAGCGCATGGAGCGGGCGCGGGACCTGGACCTCCTCCGCCGCCGAGATGACATCCTCATGTACGTCCGGATTGCGGCCAAGACGCTCAAGTGCCCCGTGGCCACGCTGTGCATCGTGGGGGGCCAAGCCGGCCTGCTCATTGCCAAAGTCGGGGGGGTCACTACCGACACGATTCCCCGCCAAGTGATGCTCGAAAGCCACGCGATTCTATCGCCAGAGCCGACAGTCGTGCTCGACTGTCTCTCGGACCTCCGCTTTGCCACGAATCCCCTCGTGTGCGAAGGTGACATTGGCATCCGCTTCTATGTCGGCATGCCGCTGTGCACGTCGGATGGACTTGTTCTTGGCGTGCTCAGCCTCGTGGACACGCAGCCGCGGGACCGCGTCCGCATCGCGGAGCTCCAAAAGCTGCGCCAGGTCACCGACACCGTCATGCACAGGTTTGAGGACTTGTCCGTCGGGACGACGAAGACTCGATGGGACCAACAGGCCGCCTTCCAGCGCCAGTGCGAGATGGACCTCGAACTCGACTAAGCACCCACACCCCGAGAGCGAGTATATGTTGACATCCATTAACATGTTCATTTTGGCCCACATGACGAGAAACAACGGAGTTTGGAATCTGCAGTAGTAGTAGGTTGCGTGGTTCCATGCTAGTACTACTAGTACTGTGTAGTACTACTCGACAAAGATTAGAGAGGTGTGAATTCGGGGTTTTGACTTCAATTGTGTCGGGTATTTGGATTAACAGTGTAAATGAAGCTTCTACTGCCAAATTTGCCAATTTTGGGGAATTAATTGCTGAAGTCACCACGAAATCGAGCAAAACGGTATGATTGGATAAAAAGATGGAAGGTTGAGAACATATGATTGGCTAAAACGAATGAATACTTGCAAAACCTTCGAAATATGATATATACGGCGACTTCGTGAGGTCACATTATTTACAGTAAAACACATAATAGTAACGCTAACTTGTTATTACTGCATGCGGGCGTGGTCCAGCGAGTGAGATATTGAACTGACCCTTGTTGTGTTCGAATGTATAGATAGCTACGAAGTATACCAGTATATATTTGGAAATATATGTATACCTACTACGTACTAGTAGCTAGCTACTGAGCATGCAGCAGCTCGGCCGTGTATTCCAGCACGTCCGACATGGCTGGCCGGTCCGAAGGGTCTGGGTGCAGCATATCTTTGATGAATTCGCAAAAGTCGACGGAAAACTCCACGCCGCGGAATCGCACAACGTCCCCCTGACCTGTATTCAAAGACAAAATCCATCCCTTTACTACACTATAAATCAATAGATTGGTGGACGTACTCGGGGGAAACGTCACTTTGCCGTTGAGACAGGCCAGTCGCATGAATCCCTATATATGCATGCATTCGATATACATACATGTAGCAAATAAATATTTATCATAACTTTGGCACGTACTTCGCGAGCAGATTCAAACGGACTCGACCCAAATGCCATGCAGTACCTGCGACAACGTGTTACTGTATCACATACATACGCCAGGTACACGTACAAGAGACACCCGAGGGACCACACGTCCGACTGGCCATTGATCACATGACCTATCTCAGGCTCAAACAACTCGGGGGCGCGGTACGGCGCCGAGCATTTTCGGTTGGCGTCGTCTTGGACGTCCATCAACTATAGATTGTACTACTCAGTCATCCGTGCTAGACTCGGTGGTAATTATATATATATATTTTGTGTGTATATTCTAAACTGGAGCGACATGGAGAATGAACAATCGACACAACACCAAATAATATATATATATATATACAAGAATATAATCACCGGCAGAAGGATAGATATATGTAGCCAATTAGAAATTTTGCAGGAAACCCTCATCCACATTTAAATAGTGTGTGATTTCAATTAGTGTGAAACCAATCCCCACAGGACAAGACGTTTTTACATACAAAATATATCAGAACAATGAAGAATCGACGATAGATTTTTGGCGAATTATCAGCCCACAAAAGTCCAATTTGTTTGGGGTAAAACAATAATATAACACGATAAATACCGTGCGGCGGTCGACTATCTCCGTGACCAACGGCGCGCAACTGCCAAAGTCCATGAGAATTGAGTGGTCGCGGTGGTCCAGTAACACGTTGTGCGGCTTCAAATCGCGATGTGCAAATCCGGCGGCATGCAGCGCCGCCACGCCCGCCGCGATGCCTTGAAAGATGCGCAAACTTCGTCGCTCGTTGAACGGCCACACCTGGTCTGCGACATCGTTCGTAGCCCGCCAAATCGAATCCCACAACGTCCCGTGGTCGTAAAATGGCAGCAAAAACAGCACCTAACCGAGGAATTTGTCTAATCGATGAGTCCTCAGTCGAATGGTTCAATAGCATGGATGCAAAAGCACCGCCAAAGCCAATCATGATAGAAGTAGATTTTATTTTCAAAAGAATCGATTGATTGTAGTTCATTTATAGTAACTTTTACTTGTTTAATTATAAAATTCTGTTAATAAATAATATTCCTTTTAGATCTATTAAGTCTACCTTTTAATTGAAAAATGAAAGACTCTAATTCTACTACTAGTAGTATCCAACAGTGTCAAATCGATTCGAAATAGGAGTGGGTTGCTCAATCGATTGACCAGACTCACCAAATCGATCGACCAATCAAAACACAGATCAAGAAACAAGTAGCCAATCAAATCCACTCTTGGACAAATTCAACATCGGATTAGTGTGTGACTTCAATTAGTGTGACACTCACTGGACGAATTTTTACATACAATAAATAGTATGTACGATGGAATCGATCGATAATAGATTTGGCGAATCAGCACAAAAGTCCAAATTTTGGGTAAAAAAAAGACAATATCACGTTCTGTGGAATTTCAGCCAAACATCGTTTACTGTTTTAACCCCGTCTGTATGCATGGGACAAACCCATATATATATATGGGTTTGTCCAATGACGAGGGAGTATATATATATATACTCCCTCGTCGTCGTTACTGTTAACCCCGTCCGCATGCATGGGACAAACCCATATATATATATATGTATACTCCCTCGTCGTTGTCTTGTATAGTGTGTACAAGTAAGTTTAAAGGAGATGATCCAATGATTGCTACTTTTGACGATAGGACTCGTCCAAATCAAAGTGAAATACACCATATACTACCATCACATATCGAAAGAAGCAGTCATAAAACTCGACACGTGCTTGGCAATATTCAACAAACAACTTGTAGAGCACAAATATAAAAATCAGTGAAATCTGAACCTCATGCTTGGACGCCGACCGCGTTTCGCCATATTGGAGCATCCGCATGATATGGGGATGTTGGACGTTCTACAGCAACAAAAACACAGCGATGAGGTCGTGGTTGTCAAGGGCTGGTAACTGTTTGGGCTCCCCATTTCAACCTAGAAACACACACACACAGGACCTCCAACACTTGTCGCTCGATGGCGGCGTCGCGCTCGACTTGGGCGGACGTCACGACGATGCGCTTTAAGACGCACGTTTCATTGGTCGCGGTGGTCTTGACAAGGAACACGTGGCCATATGCTCCTTCGGCCAGCAGCCGCACGATGTGGACTTGGGTGGCGGAGATGGCGCCGGCTGTACCCACCGACACGACTTCGCCCTAATGTTATGAAGCATTTATCTCAATGACAAACCAGAGATGTAGTTGTCGGACCTTGGACATGGCGTTGCTGGCGCTGGAAATCGAGTTGCTGATGGATGTGAGCAACGACCCGCCCCACTTTTTGGCCTTCCGCGCGGTTTCATCGAGGTTGATTGTCTTGGCAAACTCGACCGCGTTGCGCTTCATGTCGTCCACGTGCAAGTTTTTGGCGAAATCCTTGGCCATGTCCGTCTGCTTTTTGAACTTTTCCTTGATCTCTGCCGCGGAAAGGCCGCCGCCGCCTCCGTCGCCGCGAGAGGAATTGCTCCCGCCGCTGCTGTCACGGGACGGATTGTCGCCAAAGGTCGCTTCCCAAGGAGCCTTGTCGGTGTTTGGACTAGTAGACGACAAGCGACATGACATGCAAAACGTGCTTCGATGGGTTGGAAAGACAGAATTACGTACTCTTTGGATGCGTTGCGCTGTGTGCCAGAGTGCGAACTGGATGAACTGGTGCGGGATGTTGATCGCGTTACCCCTGTAGACGCATTTGAGTGATGATGCGAACCACCCAAGATGGAGGAGAATGGTGTGTACACCTACCATTGGAAACCTCTACGTGGATGGCGTCGTCGTGTCGGACGCCTTTCTCATGGGGAGCGGGACCTTCCGACACGACAATCTTGGCGTGGATGCGCGAGCGGTTCACGACTGGGACCACCGAGTTGGGGTTGGTGTAAGATCCATAAACGCCGTTGTCGTGCTGGAAGCTAAAGTGGCAGTACTCGAAGGGGCATGCTGCTTGGACATCCTTAAGACGGATGGGATGAACTGCGTCGGAGACGCGGAAGGCATTTGGGTGCCGTTCGGAGCTACCCACTTCGCCCAACACGTCGTACAGCACCAGCATGTCACTTCGGTTTCTCCACGGCGATTTGATGGAATGTTGTGTTCCGGATACAAGTATCTCCGGATAACCAGATTTTCCAACATTACACTAATAAATGCGCTACAGTTTAGAAGAAAGGCCAGCAAAAACTCTGTCACCAACTAACGTTAGTTGTGTACTACTAGTACAGTTGATCGCACTGGTACAGTAGTGAATTAGCAAAGTTTGGCAAGCATGAGATTTCCCTGTGGATGTTTTGCGCCTCAGAAGCCATGCACTGTCATGGTGAGAATGCAAGCTACTCGAAATCTCTGCAGGGCTCGTGTGCATATCATCATATCAGCATTGCTTTGCCATCATATCTTCATACACCTATTAACACGCCTTTTCTATCAATCTGTAGTATTACAGTACTCCTACGTCAACATGAATTGTGTTAACATGAGGTCATTTTGTCTTTTGCCTCGTCCAAGCCATGTCCACGGAAGTGCCTTTTGCGGTTGCCCCCGCGACAGTTGCCGCGATCACTGTTGCGTTGGTGCTCGTTCTTCAAATCCCCGGGCTCCAGCGAGCCATCTCAACGGTATTCTTCTCCCCCTCTTGCTTTCAGCGACAACGTCGACCAACTTTGGTAACCACCAGCGCACGCAGCACTTTTGACAAATCTGCGGCTCCTCACGGCACCCTACTCGCCCTTTCCCTTCGAGAATCCATGTTTGCCGCAGGTGCCATGGTCAATGGAAGCTACACGCTCTCATTCAACATGATATTGCACCATGCCGAACACTGTCCCCCCCTGTCGATCGAAAACGTTCAAGCCGCCTTGTCGCAGCTGCAAACTCGCCACACGTTTCTCCGAACCAAACTTGTACCGTACGACAGTGTCGCCACACCGTTTGTCCTGCAGGTGGACCATGCTCTGCGTCTCCCCCTCATTGAACTGCCTTCGAATACCCCATTCGCAAAACTGTGGGCGGAAGGCCGTGGCACCCCCTTAAGGTGCGGCGAGCCTATGCTTCGTGTACTCTGGCAACCGCAATCCAACACCACGAACGTCGTGTTCCTAGTTCATCACGCCATCGCCGATGGTCGATCTCTCAGCTGCCTCGCACATGATTTCCTTATCGCCCTCACCACTATTGATATGAAAACCCTTCCCCCCTTGCCCCTCGTGTCCAGCTGTGACGATGTGGCCAAGCGTGCGGTTCGGTCGTATCCACTCCGAAGCCTCCAGTCATTCGCCCACACTGTCTTGTCTGGAATACGTGCACGTCATGCGTTTGCGTTTCCCATCGAGCCAGCAGCTAAAGCGTCCTTCATGATGTTGCGAGATAACAAACCCCTTGGTCTCACTACCCAATTCGACGCTGCTACCACGTCGCGCTTTGTGGCTAAGTGCAAAACCCACCATGTGAGCGTCACGGGTGCCCTCGGGGCGGCTCTCATCCACGCTATTGCCGACATGGCAACAGCATCGTCGACGAAAATCGCGCTGGGCACGGTGGCGGATGCTAGGACGTTGGGCGCGATGGGCCATCTACCTGTAGTCGCCCCCGAACATTTGGCATTGTTTGCAACGGCGCTGCCTATGTTTTCCCACACCGTTCAAGCCACGAGTGATGCAACCTCTTCCATTGAGTCGACGGAACCCCCATATTGGACAACTGCAAATGCCTACGGCCAACACTTGCACGAGTGCACGGTACGGCAAGACGGACTCGTCGTTGGCATTCTCATGGGGCTCAACATGAAATCCATGATGAAAGCACCGAAGCTCACGCTGGGGAGACCCACAATCATCCTATCCAACTCGGGGGTGCTTCCCAAGCTCCAAACGCAGTACGGCGATCATATCAAAGTATCGCACGCCCACGTGACCAGCAATCAACTCTACAGCTTCCCGAAAGTCAGCGCTTCCACGATGGGCGGCGTGCTCACACTCAACTTTGACGGGGTCGCGCCAATCATTAAACCCACGGACCTCGCCATGTTGCAATCAAGGACGACGTGGCACTTGAAAGCGATGATAGCCTAACTATGTATGTACTGTACTCCTCTAGTTACCTATAATCAAGTAACAAGGAATGCAATAATGCCTAGACACAATTCCTACCTGATGTTGGACAAAACTCCGCCCAGAAAACGATGCAGGAAAGGCGGCGCAAGGATGCTCCGCGAAATGCGCGATGCAGAGAAGTTGACTTACCTACACTACTACATTGAATTCAGGTGTATTGCTTGTAAACTAGCCGTTTTTAGATGTATACGAACATGATGTAAAAGTATTAGTGTTGATGCTATCCTACGCCGCATAATTATAGGTTAGCATCAACAGCCTCTCAACTGAAAACAATGGGCAATTGGCGGGGACTCAGGAGTGGCATGTCCTGGTTCACCTGGGCAAGCCAGAGGTCATATACAAGCTCATTGCCAATGTCATTTAGGTGCAGTCCGTCGTTGGCCACGTGGAGTCGCTTGGTCGTGTTCTGTCGGTTTTGGAACGCTGTCCAGAGGTCCACCACTGACACATTCAGAGCTGCACCCACTTCCACACACGACTTGGCATACACTTCCGTCAGAGCATTCCGTCGGGGATAAATGCACGTGGCATCGTCTACAGTAGGCGGCGTCACCAGCATGACGTGGCACGCTGGGAACACTTGTTGAATCAATCGGACCATTTCTCGCAGGTTGGACGCAAATTCATCGATGGGAACATGCTGGGCATCGGTGTCTACTGCAGCATCATTGGCGCCTAAGAAAATGGAAACCAAGGCCGGTGGTTTTCGCTCCCAGTCTTGGACCATGGCGGGGAAAAGAGGAAGCCAAGTGCGCGTTGTCCAGCCGGCGGAGCCACGGTTGACGACGTCGGCACGACGGACGTAAGCGTTGGCCAGCATAGATGCATAGCCCATCAACTGAGGATTCTCTCCATACTCTGTGATGGAATCTCCAAGCACGACAATCACAGGTGTTGAGCGACCCCGCGGCAATGGTGATGCAGACAACGAGAAAGCGGAGTTGAAGACAAATACGAGGACTAGTGACACCACAACAAGGCCAAAACCAATCGCAGAGTGTACAAGGAGTCTCGGGCACCGGCGGTGGTGGGAAGCTCTTGGTGGTGATACCTTGGCAGCAGTCACTTCATCCTGCGACGATGCCATCACAGTGTTGATTTTACCGAAATGTTTACAGAGATTGTACTCTCAAAGTGTGCTTTATCCGGACAGACTTGGTCGTCAAATTAACGTGATTATTCTACTCTGGTCCAAAATAGCTGTCATGTTTGCCTTCAAAATGATTGTGAATTCTCTATAAACTCGCCTGGTTTGTAAAATCAATATTGAATCACGCCGGAGTTCTGATTGGTTGAATATACTTGTCCTTTCTGCAAGAGCCAATCAAATCCACTCAAAAATGGATTAGCCAATAGCATCGATTCGTGATTCGATTCGGCGACGAGTTCGATCGACGGGGTCTGGAAATTCGTATCCGGTATATTTCGTCGGACCCACTACTGATTCACGCAATATGCCGAACATTCGATATATTTCGTTCTGACCCTACGTCGTTTCAGTATTTTTGGACAACTATCCGGTATATGTCACCCCACAACCGGTATATTTCTCACGTTGTGCAATGCTTCGTGAGGCGCTAACTTCCATGGCACCCAAGTCTCCAGCTAGACCTTAGAACGACTCGAGCTACAAGGTGTAAGGTTGTAGAGGATTCACATCGACTCATATCTATGGTTTAGATAAGTTCGAAACGCTTTCCATCTACCGGTTGTGGGGTGACATATGCCGAGTATTTGTCGAAATATACTGCAATGATGTAGGGTGAGTACAAAATCTATTGATTATTCGTCAAACATATCGCACACATGGCGTGAATCAGCTGTGTGTCGGACGAAATAATATAGTTACCGGAAGAAGCCTGAACTTACTGTTAAATGAAAAATGGTGCACTATTTATTAATACTAAGGCGAAGATCTCGTCGTTGATTATACTGTTAAGCAGCCCAAAGTGAAGAATCGAACTTGAAAAATAGCTTTCAAAATGGCAATGTATTCAATCACCCGCCAGAGAATCATATCGTAACTTTACACCTCCCCATCTCGTCCATCTAATACCCTTGAAGCACTACCAAGACTCTCTCGCTTCTATGATGCTATATTTACTAACGTTAGTAGTTATGATCAAACATGCTCAAAAGGCACTAAACATACGTGAACTATTTTGGACCAGAGTAGTACACCTTTTGTGGTTAATTCAGCTTTTTTTCACTAACGTTATATTTAGCTTAGCTTGCAGCACTATGAAGTAGTATTTCACCATGCCACCGATATATTTCGGCTTACGTTACCTCCATTTAATTTCGTGGCAACATCAAACTTTACTTTTTTTTATATTAGTTCACCAAGCGAACGGTATACTGTTGGATTATACTACCTCCAGCCGGATTTAAACCAGCCATAAGCGAAAAAGCTGTATATTTTCAACAATTTCTCAAATTTGGAAAATCCGAAAATATCAGTGTAATCAGTTTAATTCGACGAATCACAGTGGCTTGAATTCATAAAAATATGAGCAATTTTGTGTTGGGCAATATAATTTCAAAATATCATACTCAAATCAAGATAGAATTGTACGGATAAAACCAATTCTATCCGAAAAATCAGAATGATGATCAATATTGAGCGGCACTTCGTTTGTGATTCGCGCGGTTGCCATGAAAGACCTCACATCGGACCAGCGCCGCGCAGTGGTGGACCACCTCCTCTTGCGCGTTGTCCAAAAGCCATGCAAACTTCAACGCGGTGCCATCAAAGACGTGGCCCGCAACTTTGGCCGCAATCGCCACACGATCTCCGAGATTTGGAGGCGTGCAAACGTATCACTTGGCGGCGACCTACCCATGCGTGAAATCGTATGCGAGG